AATTTTTGCAGTAGCGGAATTAATTTCAAACTTTTAGAAAATAGCTTTTTGCGTTTTGAGGTAGAAATGGTTTGCTAATTTTATTTTTTTTTCAGTCAAACATGAAGATCATTTTTTACCCTCAAGGATGTAGTTTACGAAGAATGATTGGAGGATTGTGTGGTATAAATTTGAGATAAAAATCACCAGTGATTGTTGAGTTAAAGTAGTGCAAAATTAGGCTACAAGACTTTTGGGACACCCTGTACATATCCCATGCTTTCGATTGTCTCATCAATTTATGTCTCATCAATTTGTCGATTGATGAGACATAAATTTTCCTGAATCAAAAAAGCCTCTATTCGATGACCTTTTAAGAACAAAGCATTCAGAAATTCTTCATATCAAACCTCTGCACCACTTATTTTACCCTCTTTGCACACCCCAATCCCACTCGGTATGTAAGCTTACGTCAGCATTATCTCAAGGCTCACTTACCGCATTTACTTTTCTAGGTCGGAAATAGCCGAAACCCCTTCATCTGGAGGGGACACTCTCCCTCTTTTTTCATCCTATCCTCAAATTCGAATATTCGAATATTCGAATAACTGCCTTTTAAAACTCCTCGAATAAACGAATAATCGAATAAAGCATTTTTCCAAATCGTCAATCATTCGAACACGAATATTGTTCTAACTATAGTTTGCAGGTCATTTGTAAAAAAAACGATTATGCCGCTTTATGAGTTTGATAAGAACGAACAAAAATCCAGATTGCAGCTCACATTGCAACAAAGGTGCTAAGAAAAACTTAGTCGAATGCATAGCAAAAAACCTGTCCAGAATTTTATTACACAATAAGATGATGAGTTTTGACCGAGGTTTTGCTAACATTTTGAGAGCTCTTTGAGCGTGATCTTTTGGACATCGTAGAAAAAGCGGTCGTCTTAAATTAGGTTGCTCTGCTGGCACACACGTCTCAATTGGTCATTTGTCATTGGCGTATGGGAAACAGCGAACTGGATGGTGTGGCCAATTCCGCACAAAAAGCTTTTTTCTGGGTTAATGAACAAATTTAGTCTAATTACCTCGTTTTCTGCTAATTTTCTGCAGTGCGCCGTCCCTGTGGTAAGCATTAAAATATTAAGAAACGCAGAATGTATAATAATGTGAGAAAGCCCTCGTGCTGATGGATTTTCGCAGACCTTTAAGACATAATTTTTTGCGTATTATTTTCATAGCCAATTATACTTGTTAAATTGCTGTGAGTTATCTAAGATAATTCGAAAAAGAACCTCTTCAGTAGACCGTCAAGCTCATCTAGTTGCTCTTGCTTACTTTAAGACAATATGGAGCTCATAATGTGTTCAAAGCCCCCTGACTTCCTTACTTTTCTTAATAGGACGGTCTCTTTTTCGTAAATCACTTCGTCCATGAATATTCGTTTCTCAGCCTTTTTGTGCTGAACTCTTCTTCGAGTCCCTGAAATGGATAGCAGCTCTGAAAGTTCTTGATGTTTGTTAAGTAACCATCCATGTCCAATCCGGATATGTGCATATGACCAATTATAGCAGTCTAGTCTGTTTTTTTTTCAGTATGAGATAGATTTGGAAAATTCAAGTGATAAAAGGCTTTGACAGTCATAAGTGCCACCAACATAAATTAATTCCAAGGTGTTATAACAGCTGCTTCCTTCTTCTTCACTCAAAGGTTGAAACATTTGAAGCACTTGATCCTTATTTTAAGTCAGTGAAATTCATAAACGCTCCCAAAGACTGCCCTCTTTTAGTTCTGTAATATCACATTTCAACCTTTGCTTACTAAAAACTTGCAATTTTGGCTGGTTGACGTCAGTGAACTAAAAAACTCAACATTGCCTTTCATTGCAGGTCTAGCACGTTTGAAGTAAAAGTGTTCCTGCGCAATAGAATTTCTTTAGCTAGATTAAAGTTCAAACAATCAATCGAATGCCTTCCTTGGTCAGAATTTTACATCTATAACTTTTCGGAATTTTCTTCTCCTTGAGCTTCACTCCCAGTTACCTTCAAAAAAAGTTGAAAGTTCGTTTTCAATATTTTTCAAGAAAAACGCCAAAAAAACGCTGTTTTTCATTGCTTGCTCTAAAAGCCATAACTTTACGTAGAGAGCTCAATCAACACAAATCTTGTTCAGGTAGAAACACAGATCCCAGAATTTATAGCATTAAATGCTTTAATTTTTGAGGCAGGCTTCAGTTTCTTGGTGGTCTCACAAGAAAAAATAGAGGATTGAGTAATTTTCTTCTGCAGTTTCTACCTCTGCAACATGTATTTGATAGAGGGTTTTCAAGTACTGTTGGAGACAGAATGATTTCCTCTTTCAAAAAAATTATCCTTGAAGAAATCTCCTGAAAAAGCAAGAATTATGAATTTTCAAAATTGGTGCGAACTTTACGGTTCAACCTAATATCTTAATTATCCATTTGTTGATCTGATTTGTCACAAATGCAATGCACAAACTTATAACAGGAAGTAGGAGATGACTTCAACATAAAGTTGGCTTTTGTGTACAGTGCGAGGGCCGTCGACATAGAGAGCTAATCATAACATTAAATGAGCTTAGTTAAAAGTCTGCAATACACATTTCTAAACTAGGTAGGGGCCCGTTGAGCTTGAGTTGTAAATTCGGCTATTTTGTGGGCTGGTGCGAAAGAAATTTAATTCAAAACCCGCTTGCTTTGAGCTCGTCCTATTTTCTTCCTCTAGATTCATACTTATTGTGGCGTACGTATGTGAATTTTCAGGCTCGGAAGCTTCGTTTAAGTATGTGTTTTTCTGACTTTGAGCAACCAAAATTATAAGAGGATCGAGTGATCGAGGAACTATCAACGAGCGCGCCATACATAGTGGACGATTTATGCTATCCGAGTATAAAAATTCGTGCTTTTATGTAAACATTTAACTCTACAAGTATCACCATGGCCCTAGAGTTTATTCCCACTATTTTCAAAAAAATCATAACTTCTTGCTCTCTCAAAGATTGCACGATTTTAAAATATTTGATCCTTCAGTGCCCAAGCATTGCAGAGACAGAAGCTGTAGAAGGAAATTACTCAAATGTTGATTTCCTGTGTAGTGTAGAAATGCGCTTGCCAAAATTCAGAAACCTCGCCAAAAATCGTTGCGCTTCTATCTGCAAAAATTTGGCGCTATGTGAGCATTCTCTATTCAAAATTGTGAATTTAAAAAAAATGACAAAAAGATAATCTCTGTCGTTTTGTGCCAATTTTTTGATGAAAGAAGAAGCTTACACACCTTCTAACCGATCGCTCCGACTTTTAGGGCAAGATTTAGATTTTTATCAACTACGAAAAATCAGAATCTAGGTAATTTTTTTGATTTTTTGTATGACTTTCTATATCTATATTCTTTTTCTATACCTACAGTGTCGTTGTATTCAGGAAGTATTTCACATACTTGTAAAGTGTATGACTTTCTCTTCAAATAAATGTTAATTTGTACAAATCCTTTGAGAAAGGAAGAAGTTATTTTTCTGAATAAGCGCGAACAAACTTTTCGGACTGAGCTTACAAATCCATATCTCGTACAATTTGTCTTGTCTTTTCACATGATAAAACTTTTTTTACAACCATTATGACCGTTGTCGGGTACGTCAAGCAATTGGAGCTATAGTGCAAAATGAAAGCAATCAGAGTTTCAGAATGATCGAGTGAGTCAAATCAAGCATATAATTTTCTCTTTACTCGTGTTGTGAAGCAGCCTATAACTACAACATTGTGCCAACCTTTGTCTCAAATAAAGTTCCAGGCACAAAATATTTTCCCGTACATTTATGGTGCCACATACATGCTAGAAATTGTTCGAAAATTTTCACTTTTCGTCACATCTGAACATTTCTCGTAAAGTATTATGAATTAACACTTTCAAATATCCTTCAAATTTATTTGCTTACCTACTTATTCGTTTTGTGTGTTTGGACAACCACTGAAAATATAGGGCCCGTTTTGTGAAACATGTGAATATATGGCAAAAAGAGATCAATATAAGTTATAAATAAATAAATAATTAATTAATATAAATTATAAATAAATAAATAAATAGATAGATATAAGGTGTGCTATACAATTGGAGAAAATGAATGAACACAAAAGGACTGGAACAACACATTTCACTTTTATTCGTTTTCTGTTGAAAGTCCTGCTTCAACATCTGGATATGAGCCAAGGGTTCCTACAGTTTTCATTGCACAGTGACATTGCTCAGGGTGGTAATAGTAGAATCTGACTGCAAATATGCCATTCTTAGGGACCCTCATACTTCACCGAAAAAAGCCCAAAAGCGCCCAAAAAAGCCAAAAAAAGCCTAAAAGCGCCAGAAAGAGCCGGAATGTAGAAACGAAGTTTTGGTAGAATTCTGACATTATCTTATCATGCGGACGACAGAAAATGACAAAAAGGCTCGATTGCGAAGTCAACACACATGCCTTAGCGCCAAAACGTGCGAGAAGTGTTCCGGCTCTTTCTGGCGCTTTTGGACTTTTTTGGGCTTTTTCGGGCTTTTTTGGGCTTTTTTGGGCTTTTTTCGGCGAAGTATGACGGGTTCCTTACCTGTAAGCAGTAAATTAACAAGTTTTTCATACTTATGGGCACCGTCCATCCAAATGGAGATGAGATGGTAAGATGATATAATAGCGGAGTCCCCAACTAAACAATTGTCCAAATCCTGCCTCAAAAGATGAAGTCCGAACGATGATCTCCTCAGAATGTAGAAGCGGTCTAGGACTCTGCCCATCCACATGGATTTATTACATTTCTAGGTACATCGAAACCCAATTTTGGACTTGTTATCTTCGGCTCACCTGATGGTCGGAGCCATCTGGGGTGCTTCTACTTTCTGAAGCGATTCTCTCGGTTTGCAATTTATCTTTTGCAGCGATACTTGGGTAATTACCTAGATAAGTGCTCAGCTATCCATAGCGTCAAAATTTTACCATCCTCATGCCGAGTGGAAGGTGCCTTCGATGATGTCATTTGTGGAAGAAAGCCGACCTGTGGACACAACTTGCACGGAAGATTTTTCTAATCAGACTGCTGTCCGCATTGTATATGAGACACTTTGCAAGGTACCTTATGCATCATCGCAGACAACTGACCTAACCTCCGCAGAACGTCTGGGAAAGTCCCGCTGGGTTACCTGCGAAAGTTCCGTGAACGTGCTACGGTCCTCAAGTTCTCAAATGACGTGCTGCGGAACTTCCGAAGATTGCGAACCACAACAGCAAAACAGAACACCTAAGCGGGATCTGACCCTTACTCTATTGACTGTGAGAACCACCTACTATCCCGGACTACATATTCGACAGTGCACTCTAGTTGTTGGCGAAGCAACATTGTAAGACATTCAAACTATTGCGGAAGTACTGACAGGTCAAGTACTGCGGAACTGGCATTTTTCAAAATTTTTGTAACGTTTTTAACAACTCCAACGAAAGCTCCCGTTTTCAACCTGTTTGAAGTGAAAATCCTGCGGAAGTACCCATTTTCAACGTTTCCATTTATGTGATAGTAGACAAAATTCTGCGGAACTGCAAACTTGGCTTGTCTTGTGGAATTTTTCGATGAAGTGTCTGAATAGTTTGAGATTACGACCGTCAAGTAGTAAATATGAGTATAGTTAGTAGTTACCTAAACCGAGCATGAAAAGAATTCTCTTTTTTGAAAGATTTTTCCGTTTCACTGAACATTCTTCAACTCTCGTGCAGAGATGGTGATTGGTTGATTCTCAAAAGCACCGTCCACCCAAAATTTCGACCTCAGTGTCTTTGCCGTTCCGGGGCCTTCTCATACCCCTGATTCCAAATATTGAGTTGAATATCCGAGAAAATCACGAAAAACCCGGTTTTCAGAACCCGCAGAGCTATTTTTTCGGTGCGGTGATTGGTCGGGCGCGCACGGATGGGCGGGACGAACGTCACGCCCACTCCGAAAGGGGAGGAGCCAGCGTCGCAAACGCGGCCTGAAGCGATTTTCGAAGCAATTTTCTCGGTTCGGAAGCAACTTCAGGCAGCGCGAGTTGGGCAATCATCTGGTTGGGTGCCCCGCATCTGCTAGGTATCATAATCTCGCCAACCCCAATTTGGGTGGACGGTGCCTTCAAGGTCGAAGGAGCTCTGAAAAAGGATTCTACTGCGGCATGCTCTTTATTTGTAGTATTGTAAAAAGTGACTTCCAAATTAGATATCTTTGATTTTGGCGCATTGCCCGGCACAACTGGCACCCTATCAGGCTGGATATCGTAGTTTGGGACAGAAAGCAAAGGGGGTATCGTTTTTGTGGCCGAGAATTGCGACGTTTTCTTAGTCAAGGTTTCGTTTTTGAGGGTTTTTTTACGTTTAAGGGTTCAAGCTCAAAATGGACTTTGGCGAAATTTTTTAAAGTCAAAGGGGACTTCGTTCTAAGTCTTTGGCCATACTTTATCCGTGTTACCCGTGTGTTACCGGTGTTATCAGTGTTACTTGTATTACTCGTATTACTAATGTTACTCATGTTACTCACCAGTCAGTGATATTGCGTTTTAAAATGAGACTGTATCGTGAATTTCACAATTCAAGGGCAATAAAAGCGGTAACACTAACAACACTAGTAACACCAGTAACACTGGTAACACCGGTAGCACGGGTAACAGGAATAAATTAACTATGGCCAAAGATTACAACATGGATGTTTTGAGAGGAAGACTGCATGTTATGCTTTCAATAAGGGATCGGTCAGAGTTTGCCAGTGTTGCCGGTGTTGAAAGTGTTGAAAGTGTTGCCGGTGTTGAAAGTGTTGAAAGTGTTGAAAGTGTTGCCGGTGTTGAAAGTGTTGAAAGTGTTGAAAGTGTTGCCGGTGTTGAAAGTGTTGAAAGTGTTGAAAGTGTTGAATGTATACATCAGTCCTGCAGTTTCATTCTTCCTGGAGCGGTCTTACTGGCTGGTTAGATCGTTTGAAATGTACATGAAACATGAGTAATGAAATGCGACTGAAATGGGAAATGCTTTTACATGCAAAAGAACCTCATACAAAGTTTTTGGAAGGTAGAGGACTTGTTTTAGATAGGCAATCCCCAATATTTGAAAATGCTGCAAGACCTCCTATATGTAGGATCTGCAGCGAACACCCATTACTCGGACTTTAGTAGCGTTCTCAAAATTCAAAGATTGCCTATCTAAAACAAGTATTTTAACTTCCAAAAACTTTGTATGAGGTTCTTTTGCATGTAAAAGCATTTCCCATTTCAGTAGCATTTCATTACTCATGTTCCATGTACATTTCAAACGATCTCACCAGCCAGTAAGATCGCTCCAGGAAGAATGAAACTGCAGGAGATGTGTACATTCATCACTTTCAACACTTTCAACACCGGCAACACTTTCAACACTTTCAACACTTTCAACACCGGCAACACTTTCAACACTTTCAACACCGGCAACACTTTCAACACCGGCAACACTGGCAAACTCTGACCGATCCCTAATCGTTTCTACTTCTATTTGAAATGATAGTGAGATATGAGAAGAACAGTAAGAAGTAGCAATCATTTATCATCCTTCGACACTGCAGTCCTGTCTGTACCTCGTCTTCTTCGTCCATTTCATTCTAAACTGGCCAGTGGCCACCATCGGATGTGAGGTATGAATGAAGATTTTTTACGTTTATCCACGAATCTCTATATATAGTCGTTTTGTACTTATGAAGTAAATCAGATTTAACAATGTTTAAGACTTTCTTTTTTCATTTTTTTCTCCATGTATGAGTGTAGTGAAGTTCGGTATCGAAGCATTATTAAATAAAAAAAATAAATCTAAATATTCTGCCAAAAGCTGAAACTTGAAAAACATTAACCTTATCAAGTGACTAAGTAATTACCACAAATTCAGAATGGACCCAACAACACAATGTCAGAAAGTAGTTGAGCGGATGAAGTCAGAAAGCTTAGCAAGAATTCAACTTGGTCGAAAAAATTCGAGAGCGAAATTTGAAAAATGGATTGATGATATCATCGGTGAAGTACAAGAGTGAGCAGAACTGATTTTGAACATTTTTTTTCCAGAAATATTAGATACTAGGTACTAGATAGCTTACTAGAAAATAAAAACAAGATCGCTGTTTCTCCCATGCTTTTGATCAATCTTTTTGGGGTCCCTTAGCTCTCAATGACTCACTAGAAGACTTTTAATCTTGAGTCAATTTTTTTATGTGACCGATATAAGTGCCTTTCTTTATAATTCAAAAAATCTGCGGTGTTTGAAAAAATAGCTTAGTTATCTAATTGCTAAAATCAAAAGATTATATCTTGTTTCAGAACTTCCTAGACATAATAGGGGCCCAATAATTTTGGGAATATCAGAAACTACACGCTTATGGTTTTTCGGAATAAGACCAATAGCTCATCTATACATTTTGTTTTTTTGTTTTACTGCACACAGCAAAAGTCCGAGAAGTCAATTAGTGTCTATTGAAAATGCCGCTCCCAGCCATCCATTACGATAAATTAGTACTCATGCTGGCAGTAGTCGTTGCGAGAAAAAAGTGCATACTCAATCGCTGGACACTTTTTGTTTCCGTGCGCTTGTGCAAACATTTCCGCGCCTACTATTCCTTTCATGCCTTTTTTTGAGTTTTCCAATTTAGCTAATAGCAGGTTTAAAAAGAAATGCATGCTTTATTTTTGGAGAGTATGTAGTTTGGGTTACATTTTCAATCCTATCCTGTCTCAGTGGTATAGCCGTTACTTGTTTCCGTTTGCATAGAAATATTTCTGACTGATAGTTCTCAAAAAATCTGAGGTTAGTGGCGGAGATCCAATACTAAACGCTTACGAATGAACCCGAATACTCAACAATTCTCTCACGGCTTACAGTTTACACTTATTCTATAGCTATAGCACTTCCATACAAGAAATGGAAGAGAAATCTGAACGTGTAATTCCTGTAAAGGAAAAAAAACAGTCGCAGCAGGGACAAAGAATAATGATTGAGACATAGATATTTGATAACAAAATAAGACCAACTTTATTCCATCTTGCGAATAAATGGGATGTATGTAAATTGTCCGCGAAGCTAATACAAATGTTTTGTCTCCCACAGGGATACGCTAAATTCTGGCATATCAATTTCAAGTTGACTATTTCTTAAACATAGCTTTACTGCGCACCGCACTTCAGAATTCCTAAAAGCTTGATTTTTGTATCTGTATTGGCAACTACCTTACAAGGGAAGGTATATGACTCGCAGTGGAGTTTCCCTAAGGCCCCGGGCAGACTTCACGCGATTTGATCGTCGCGACTGAATCGCGAGGAGACAACTGTTACAACATCATTCCATGCAGATCAACTTGCATTCGGTTGTGATACTTTTCCAGACCGAAATTTTTGAATGTGAAATGGAAATGAATGGAAATCTTGGCGATTTGGTCGCGACGATTAAGTCGCGTGAAGTCTGACCGGGGCCTAAGAGATGTACACCATTCGAAAGGTCTTTGAGTGCTGATTTCATAACAGTCTTCCATATCTGCTTATTGGTTTACTGAACAAAGTTACAGTCAATTTTCCGCCACCAGTTTGCATGGTCAAGTACTGTGTAAATAATCTAAATTCGTGATAAATGCGAATTTGGTCCTAACTTAGACGCCCAAATGTCTGAGATATATTTGTTGTACATAAAAAACTGACGGGAATAGTTTTGGAGCTACTCTGTCGCCTTAGTCCTGCAAAAAGCAACCAAAATCAGTATCATTTGAAGCCAAACAAATGCCTGTAACTTTGTTTAGCGAACCGATACGCAGATAAGGAAATTTGTTTTAAAACCAGCATTCAAAGGCCTCTCGAATGATATGCATCTTATAGAGAAACTCTATTGAGTCACATACCTTCCCTGTTTAGCTTAATCTGGTCCAGAACATATATCTGGCATAATTTCTTGAATTCAGTCTCTCCAAAATTTATTTGGATACTGTTACCTATGCGCACTGTGGTAGGCTTATATAGCGCAATAACTATTACTTGGCAAATGAGAGCACCTCTCAAATCTCGAAATATAACTGTGTGTCGTATCGCTACACTGCGCTTCATAAAAGCTTTGTGGTTGTCCCTAATGTCATCATAAAAATGCCTTCTTTCAAGACAAAATATTGCCTCATTCAGCTCTGCCTGGAACGCATTTCATTCCAGACTCACTCTTAGTGAGCAATCAATTGTTTATCGAAGTCAGCTTTGTTTCCACTTGCTTTTAGATTAAAAAAACACTGAGCATTTGAATATTTCCGTGTGCATGAACCAATATATAGTACTGATCTTGTCAGTCGTCTTAGGCCCCGGACAGACTTCACGCGATTTGATCGTCGCGACTGAATCGCGACGAGACAACTGTTACAACATCATTTCATGCCGATTAAGTTGCATTTCGGTTGTGATACTTTTCCAGCCCGAAATTTTTGAATGTGAAATGAAAATGAATGGAAATGTCGGCGATTGAGTCGCGACGATCAAATCGCGTGAAGTCTGTCCGGGGCCTTACGCTCCTCCATGAAATGAGTCATGTTAAAAGCGGTAGGAATAATGAGGCTTGGGCTTGGAAAAACATGAGAATGTTTTTTTTTTTGATGAAGACAGCATTCAAAAAGTAGAATGCCACTTTCCATGGAAGGAATACACCTTATCAATTCTGAAAATCTCCGGCACATAAACTATTTTTGATCATGTACTTCACCAATAAGAAGACTGCGTTACCACGACAACATCAGGAAGATTAGCAATATATTTCATTACCCCTCCCTAACTAAAATTCTACATTTACACTGTGACTACATGAAAAATTGACCTACAGTGATCCAGAGCCAACAGTTCCTCTTCGTCTTCCATTGGTATATTGTAACATGTTTGTTCTGCATTTTGTTTCCAAGCAAAGAATTTTGCCTTCATTCCGCGGGGACGTTCATAAGTTTTTTTTCTTAAGCGCTTCTCAAACTGCTTACCATTCTCCCAACCTAAAAGAGTCTCTGCTGAGTCATAATCAGTGCCGAACCACTTTATCCATCTTTGTTTGTAAAGCACTTAATCACTATAAATGTCTCAGCCTGCTTGCTGATTGAGAATATATTCATATGCTGTCGTAGTGTTGAGTGAGAACGTCGAAATGAACTACGAACACATCTAATTTTTCTAAATTTTTTCCGACGCTCGGATAGCTTCAAATATACAAAATAGACGTGTAGCTTCAAACGGTCACCTATTACTCTTGTCTTTCTGTATCTACCATTGAAGCCTGCTGTTATCTGCTCCGATTGCGGTTTGAAAAACTTGCACCCTAATTTCACGCGTATAAGGCGTGGGGGATTTTTCCTAGAATCGACCAGCCCAGACAAGCAAAAGGACTTTACAACCAAACAAAAGCCCCTGTAAGGTGCTGTATATTGCTTGAGAGAATCGTGTGATGTAAGGATTTCTTTCCGGAATACAGTGAAGCGGCTGAGCGGCTCGCTTGAAAATTCGAAAAAGTGCGCCTTATACGCATGAAATTAGGGTAAATTCTGTTCATTAATCTTTCTTCATTCACCGTGCTCGTGCTAAACGGAGCTGCTTATCCTTTGTCTCCTCATTTGAAAATTTTTTGTAGAACATAAACTGAGGCAGACGATTATGGGACTTCCAGTACAGATTCTACATAGAGGATTAGGATATTTCCTAATTTCAATAATAACTTTAATTGTTAGTCTAATACTTTTGACCAAAAATATTTGATTATTGCATGAAAAATATTACTTATTCTGTTAAATTTCCACCTCTTTGCCCAGTTTACACTGCAGCCTAAGGAACTCTCGAGTACCGGGCAGTTTCTTGACGTCAACATGCACAAAGACTTTTCAGGTGTTTTCTTAATTTTGATTTTTGAGCCTGAGCTATCCAGTACACCTATGTAATGAATATCCCTTCTTCACACATAGGTCAACCAGTCCGTCTGCAATGACGTCTAAATAGAGTGAATGTTTCGCTTTTTCTCTTGAAAAATGTTTACATTTCGCTTTTCCCAGCAATGCATCAAGTAGCAATGTAGGTGTCAAGTACCCTGCCAAACTCCTATTTTTTTCGTCTCCGTAACTTCGCGAGCCGCGCCGTCCTTGATATTTAGTCGTAGTGACAAATGAAGCATAATAAGACGAGAGAATTACTTGCTTGGGTGATCCCAGATATATTACTTTGATTGTGAGTAATTAATTGTGAGTAATCATTTACTATAGGAGGGATGAGTCAGAAATAGCAAAAAAAAAATCACAGTCCGTATATGAAGCATGTTCAGACTCGCAATATTGCTGCTATGACGTAGAATATGAGAAAAAGTTTGACCGATAGGTTACTCGTAAAGCTTACGCAAATCTGCCGCTCGAATGCAAATTTTCCATAGTTCAGTAGCAGACTGTAACATATTTTACATGATGTATAGTCTTTGTCATATTCCACTGGCTTAGGCCCCCTCTATGACACATAGCAAAACTCATTCTCAACATTTGTTTTGATTGCTACAATTTTTTAAAATTCATATCTTTTTCATACCAAGTTGGGATTCTTTTTGTGACCACAACATGCTGGGTTTTTGCAACTTCTTAACCACGGTGAGCTCCGCGTACTCAAAGATGACTTGTTCAACGAATCTTTTAGATAGAGCTCTTAGCTAGAATGTAGAATTTTCAACTATACGCACTTGACAATATAACTCTTTTTTTAAAAAGTTTTGCAAAGAATCTAGTTTTCACCTGGCTCTCGTAAAGCTTAACTTTTGAAGAAGTTAGGCCAACGCAAAACTTCAAGAAGAAAGGGCGTGGAAATCTCAAAGTGATGCATTTTTGCCTTAGCATTACAATAAAAGGAATTGTTCCTCTCTAAAAATTCACAAGGGACCGGGCGTTCCGGCATCGGATATGCTTCCCATATTGAATCAGGGGCTCAATACTAGTTTCTTAGAAATCGTATTCGCATCTATCAGCTCTTCCCAGGAATCATTTTTTTCCGATCTTAACCCAT